CAAATGTAAGTTGAGCTTTTGCCAATTATAGAAGAAAAGGAGGACAGGACAGGACAAATTAAATTTATATTAAAAAATTTATTTCTAGGAAACATAAAATTTGCCCGACATTTAAGGGTGTTGTTTACTAATGCTAGTCAAACACCCAGGTGTTTTTGAAGCTCATTCCGTGGCAGCGGAAGTGAGGTCTTGGGTTCCACATATGGATTGAGTGCTGACGGAGTTCTCAAGGAGCATCTTCGGCATTATTGAACTATACAATGCCAGTATCCCTATGGGGGTTATCGAGGGTACTAATCAAGAAGATGGGATCCATTTTTGGTGTGGCGCCAAACTGGCGCCATTCGGCGCCATATGGCGCCCTGACTGGATCTCCATTAGCTCTCTCACTTAAAGTACCTACGACTAAGTCTAGGGAAAGGTAGTGATTGCGGTGTAATGGGTAAACCAAGCAACGTGTGGCAAAAGTTGGAGTGTGTTAGATCCACAGAGTGATTTACTCACTTTGGAGCCCTCCACTATTCAAAGGCTTAGTCCTGATTGCGATCTAATTAGTGCGAGGGCGCAGACGAGCAGGAAATAGGCGCCGAATAGCGCTAACAACAAAAACGAATGTCATATTCGTAATCAGGGCCCAAATAACCCCTATACAGAAGTTTACAGCGAATTTGGTGAAATCAGTCGTGGCGCCACTGGCGCCAAATGGCGCCAATTTGGCGCCAGCGCCAAAAATGGATGTCATATTCGTGATCAGGACCCTCGATAACCCCCATAGCAGAAGTTTCAGCGAAAAATTTTTGACCCATCTCACCCTACTGGGGTTGTAATAGTACAATAGGGCCGAGCCCTCTTTCCTGCGGTTAGCAAGCGAGCGTTACCAGGAGGCTTCGAAATTTCCATGAATCTTGGAATGGATTTCTGAGCAAACAGTCACGAATGCCACAAATATGGAAGCCAAAATTGCTACATGAACTAACATTGACCGTCACAACTAAGTTGTGAGCGGTCAACGTTGACAGGAAGTGCAGCCTTAGTACCATATTATGAAGCGAGTTAGTCGCTGAAAACTCAGTTTCTGATTTTTCATATAATACGCTTACTTGTCCAGAAATGGCGTTTTCACTAGCGCGATCCG